GAAGAAATTTATCTCATCGCTAGTCAATAGTAAATATGAGATTATGATCCATTCATGTGATTTCATGACTACTTTTTTTACTTTTTATCAAAGACTGGTGCTAGGTAGCGAACCAATGAAAATTAAGAAATAATTAAAAATTTAATACATTCGACATAATAAACAATTATTCTAATTAATAATACACCTCAATTATGAGCTTCATCTTTATCGACAATCATGAATAAATCAAATACATCAAAACGTATAGGAAATTCACTCTTCTTCAAAAACTTGAATCAATATTATTTAACTAGTCTATAGAAATCGGTAATATTGTGCTAATTTTATAGATGGATTAATTACACATCGGATAAATCGATTACATTTTTTTTATCAGAGGGGGTTTTGTGGAGATTTTAGAAATTTCACAGATTGAAATTATGAGTCAATTGAAGCTGGACCATCATGGAAAACCTAGAAGCACTGGACGGTCGTTTCGTCCTAGTATGGGACTCCTCAGCAGCGCTCATCCACGATCCCGCCCCCCGCGAGATTAGAACTCATGACCTATCAGCCTCGCGCGCGAGCGCTTAACCAAACGACCCCTGAGCTGGCATCCAACGGTATTAATGTCCAACTTCAACCAATCCACGAAATTGCGCCACCGTACACCATTGTCTTCAGTGATTTGATATCTCACAACTGACTTGGTCTGGTGGTCTAGATTCAATTGACTTATGATTTCAATATATTTTTTACCGCTGTTAGAAAAAAAGATTTCCACAATCTAATGTAAAACAAATAAGAATCAATTTTCTTTGATCTAAAACAGTAACCGCTTTATATTGTAAAAAATTTCTTTAATTATGTCATAAAAATAACAGTTTATTATTGTTTTGTACTTTTTTCTTTACAAATTAAACATAATTTATAAAATTAATTAAAATGCAAAAGGTATTTGAATTAGTTGTATCATCATTTACAAAGTGATGTTGTGGATCATTGTTTTTCTTTTTTGTTGTTGTTGTTGTTGTTGTTGTTTATTACTGAAAAAAAAGATTCGTATTTATTGGTTCAATTGTAAAGCGTAGTGTGAATAGAAAAGAAAAAAAAATACATTAAACAACTAAATACACTATTACCCCAGAAACAGTTTTAAAAATGTGAAATCGACCCAGTAATTATTTAAACAAGTATATCAATATATAATAATCATTAACATGCATTAGTAAACATATTAAGAATAGAACAACACATATAAGCGAACAATATTGTTTTCAATTAGATCGTCATCAGGCTTTACCCTAATATACGTGAATATTTATACGAAAATGTTAAACCAATCAAGGAAATATGGGTCAGATAGAGACAATTCACAGTTCTATCTTGGCACATCTCAGTGATAGCAATCATGCTGTAGATAAATCGAAGTCATTTCAAGTGATCTATCGTATACCTCCATCATTTCCCAACGGAGTTCGTTTCCGTCTCCTACATATAGCTGAAACCATAGGAATTCGTACATATAACCCCAATTTATGTGTACGGAAGAGATTCGTAACCCCCTATCCCTTCCATGGCCAGTTATAACTTAACTAACGATTTTTTAAAAATTATTATTATTATTTATTTAATTCTATTTTTGTTATCATTAGCCTTATTTTCACATCTAGTATTTGTTTGTAATTTTCCGCCTCTTTGTATTCTTCACTATCTAATTATTTACACACATCTGATTACGTAATGATTTTAATGTTTTGTGTTGACTATTCCAAGTCTATTTGCTCACGTTTGACCTTCTATTTCCAATGTTTAACTATTGATAAGACTTTCGTTATCGTATTTTATTATTCTTATTACTACCAGTATACCTGTCTTTCTACTATCAACTTGTAATTTTACTTATTATGTGTGGAGACTTATTCTATTTCGTGGTGATTATGGACCCATATTTCCTTGATTGGTTTAACATTTTCGTATAAATATTCATGTATATTAGAGTAAAGCCTGATGACGATCTAATTGAAAACAATTGTTCGCTTATGTGTGTTGTTCTAATTTTCACAATGGGAATCTTTAATATAATAAGAATAGTATTAAGGATATTAATGATGAAACTAACTAAATTTATTGATAAATAACATGACTTTTTTTGAAAAGTAAATTACATTGGCTTTGATAAAATACATCGTTATAAAGTTCTTTATAAAGTATTTTCACTGATAAGTTTAGAAAGCAGTTTATGAGTCAATGATAACAGTGGAATAGATTACATAAGTGAAAAGTACAAATTGGTAATGTGATGACAGATGTACTAATTGTGTTAAGAATAATGTTGAATAATGTGCCAACAACTACTTGAAAAACAGATCAACATTGGAATTCTTGAGGTTAGTCTCAAAGAATTACTTCTGAAATGTACAATGAATGTCCATTTTGTCTTTAATAACATATATTATAGACAAATTGTTGGCATAAGGATGGGTTCAGCTCTAGGTATTATCCTTGCTGTTTTTTTTCTTGTGAAACTATAAAACGGACCTATCAAAGAGGTTATCGATAAGCCTAACTTCTATTGTCGTTACGTTGATGATACTTTTATTATTGTCGATCAGAACATTGGAAAAGAAGAATACTTAGAACTATTTAACAACAAACATTCAGCAATTTAATTTACATGTGAAGAAGAATTAGATAATGAACTACATTTCCTTGACGTTTTGCTAAACAGAAAAGGAAATTGTTCCATCAGTAGAAGTGTGTATAGGAAAAGTTCTTCAACAAGCCAGTATACACATTTCTTAAGCTTTGTACCCCTTCATTATAAGAGGAACCTAGTCAATGTCTAGCAAATAGAGCTAGGATGATATGCTCAGTCGATACAACTAACAAGAAATTAGAGCGCATACATAATTTGTTGATTGAATCGGGTTCGTAGAAAGAAAGATATGGAGAGATTTTAATCTCACAGTTTAAGGGCAGACAAAGTGTGTGTACACCTACGCCATTGTGATCGATTCTGAGCCATGTCACCCAGAATATCCAACTAATAGTTACGATGGTCACGCAGATCCCAACCAAGTAGTCTGCATCTGCTAACATGGCCCAGACTAGAAGTCAGTGTTTTCAAGCACTAATACCACGTTTTTGTTTGGCCACCCCTAACTTTCTTTTACCAATCTCCAACACTAGTCAGCATTGCGCGTCGTGGTAAACGGTATTCAGGCATGAGTAATACTTGACCTAACCATCTCAGTTGGTGAAGATGAGGTGACATCAAATAAATACATAAATATATATACTTGGAAGTATGAAACAAAAATTACTAGAAAAAAAATTTTGTTATTGGTATTGGAATTAAAAATGTATTAAGGATTATCAATGCAAATGACAGATGAATATGCTTTTCTTGACTTAAATAAGCAAGCCATTCACAGGATTGAGCTTAAAATGAATTTCAATTATTTATCATGGTATTGTTATATAGATTGATGGAAAATTCAGTTATTGTAAAATATAAGCTTCCTTGAACTCTTCATGTACCTACTTTTATACGTTTCATTCAAATACAGAATACAGTTATTTGATGTAATTAACGAGACTCTATGTCAAATAAATATCATTGTTAATTATTATAGAAGATTAAAATTAAATCATATGTCTCCTACAATATTTAATGGTTTTTGTAAGTTGATATTAGTGTAGAAATATTTTTCAATGGATCAGCAATTAAAATTCAATTATAACCATATAGGTATTACAACCTAGTTTGAGAACTATTGGCTACATACAGCTATATTATCCTATTAAGAATCGATTCCATATTACTTGAGGTATCATAAAGGTTCCATGTTTTATCAGGACATGAATACCACTTTCAAACTAATCGAGATACTTCTAATCACATGATCGGAATAAACTATGGAATTAAAATTCATTATCTACTCAATATAATCGAATAAATGTTTGTTTGAATAACTTTCACAAAACATTTTCAAATATTAATTAAAATTAGATAGTCTTTTCGTAATCTAACGCCATATGTTCGATATCTAAATTGGACGTTTATAGAAACTACAGAATGGTAATACTTACGGACTAACTTTACATAAGATATCTTGCATATTAAATATTGTACAATGTAATACTCAGTATTTTATCAATGTCTTATCTGCAGTTGTAACTAAAGAGCAATACTTAACGAATAATCAACATGAACAACTTTGTAAAAATTTGTGCATCTAAGTTTTAAGATAATAGACAACTGTCTATAAAGTTTATCTGAAATTATAAGCTATCAAGTTCTTCTCAAAAGGATTCAAACCTGTGTTACAGTCTAAAGCATATATTTTAACTTATTAGCAACATTACAATTCAATGTGTTGAATTCAATCAGTACTAATGTATGAACAAGTGAATAAATTAGATACATAACATAAAATTATATCAGAAGGGTTTTTGTGGAGATTTTAGAAATTTTCAGTGATTGAAATCATGAGTCAATTGAAGCTAGACCATCATGGAAGACCTGGAAGCACTGGACGGCCGTCTCGTCCTAGTATTCTAAAATCTCCACAAAACCCCTTCTGATAATAAGCATCTGACTGACTTCAAGAGATACTCCTGGAGTTCTAGTGTGATGCCGTTACCAGTGAAGTTCAACCAGGTCTGTTGCGAGATATCAACTCATTAAAGACAATGATATACGTTGGCGCAATTTCGTAGATTGGTTGAAGTCAGACATTAACACAGTTGGATGCCGGCTCAGTGGTCTAGTTGGTTAAGCGCTCACGCGCGAGATCGATAGGTCCTGGGTCTGAATTTCGCGGAGTGCGGGATCGTGGATGCGCACTATTGAGGAGTCACGTACTGGACGAAACGGCTGTCCAGTGCTTCCAGGTTTTCCATGATGGTCTAGCTTCAATTGACTTATGATTTCAATCAATAAAATTATATGATTTATTCACTAGAATTAAATGACATTCTTTTTTTCCTTCTTTTTCTTAAAAAAAATACAGGATCTTGTTTAAATAATCAATTTAATCAATAAATTTGTAAATCATGCAACCATCATGTATCATAGAAATTCAACCAGCTACCCCAGTAACTAAAAATCATTCAAAAAATTTTCATAAAACAGATCCTATTATAGATTATTCACAAAATTCTATAATCAATAATAATCAATCTAATAATAATAGTAATAATGATAATTTATCGATTGAATCAATTCATAATTATTTAGAAATTAAACCATCTAATTCATCAATTAATCAATCAATAAAATCATCAAATATAAGAAAATATAGTAAAAATATTCATTCAAATATTATATTAACTAAATCCAATACACATATACCATCATGGAGAACACATAAATATGGTAAATATTGTTGGAAAAGTTGGATTACATTTGTACATTTAGTGATTGCATTTAGAGCAATAATTGTACGTATTGGATTTATATGTTTTACATGTACAGCTATTGTAAGTGTTGTAAAAGAGAAACAAGATGGAAGATTTTGGTTTTTAGCATTAACTATTATACCATTATTAATTGATTTAATTGTAGCAATTAATGCATATGTTTCTGGTAGATCTGTAACACCAACAATATCTAAATGGTAAGTTGATAATTTTATTATTTTTTTTTATTACATATATATAAAGTTTAACCATGTTGAGATTGAAATGATAGTTACTAATTTCATTGGATGATCATCTAACCTTGTTGTATGTAGATCAAACATGAAAAGGTTAACAATCATGCGTAAACGTAGTTTTCCAGTGGTTGAACGCACTTTGTGAAACGTGAAGGTCTAGTCTCCAACTAATGACAAGTAACCGATTTACTTCCCGTTACGACATACACAATAATAAAACTGTGGATACTTATGAATTTGAGAATTAACCATTGAAAATGTGAGTTTTTAACACACTATTTTAACAATTCACATACCGTTAAACAAAATTTAGAATGAAAATTATCAAATAATCCATTCTTGAGTTGATTCAAGTCAAATTTTACTGAAAATAATTCATTTCATAATCGATGTACCTCTTAATTGCCATTGTTTGTAACCTAATCAATTGATTCCCATGGTGATCTAGCTTCATGATCTCAACTATTAAATTACTATAATATTCACAAAAACCCCTTTATGATATTAATCAGCCTATGCTCACTAGTGACTAGCTTCAAGAGGTATTTCCTGGAGCTCTAGTGAGAAGCGTAACCAGTAGATTTCAACCGGGGCTGTTGTGAGATAGTAACTTAATGAAGACAATAGTGGACGTGTCGCTTAATTTTGTGTATTAGTTGAAGTTAGACACCGTTGAACGCCGGTTAGATAAGTAATCTAGAGGTTAAGTATTCGTGCATGAGACTGATAGATCCTAGGTTCGAATCTCGTGGTGCAGGATCGTGGATGAACGCTGCTGAGGAGTTTCATACTAGGATGGAAAAACCGTCCAGTGATTTCAAGTTTTCAATGGTGGTCTAGCTTCAATCGACTCATGAATTCAACTATTAAAAAGAACTATCTTTAAATTATAGTCTTTACTAAAAAAGAACAAACCTCGAATTCTCCATAAATTAGTTAATAATGAGTAAAGTTAATAATTTCCAAGTCAAGAATCTGTAATACTGAATTCCAGATGACTGTTTATAAAAATGTAAAATTTGTAGTACATAAATATACGTAATAAATGTAAAGATACTTGGAAAGGAAAACTGACAAAAATGTATAAGACAATAGACATAATCTTTCCGTATATTTACAGTTGGAAAGTATTTTTCAATACTTTTAGTCTTGAAATGTATTTACCTACTTATGAACATAGGAATGTAACGTTTTCCATACTGTTTCCATATAATACTGAATAATGAAATGATTGTTAATTAGAAAATGTTATGTGTTCATTGAATATTTGTAAGTTCCAAGAATAATCAACCTTATAGAAAATATATCTATAAGCTTGATCATATTTTATAAGAAAGGAAATATTAGCATTGTAGTATGAAGAGATTTCGCATATATAAAATGTATAACCAAGGCTTTGTCAGGTTACTGCCTATCAGTTCAAAAAAACTATGACATACAAACTCATCCTGATGAATGCAGTTTGTCCATATTCTTGAACTTGTAAAACGACTTGAAGAGATTTTTAGGAGTTTCCACATTGTTCCTCGTTGATGTTAAATATTTCTTACCATGGTTAGAGATTTAGGGTTAAGGTTTTCGTCCTGAATGGATATCAGTTTTAATGTAATCTTGCTGTGTCATATGGATGACTGGATTTCACTCAAAAAATACACGAGGCTTTACCTCGTTGGTTCACCTATAATATTTAGTGTCATCAGACTAACGAATGTTTTGTGACTAAGGATCTCGGGTTACGAATTAAGGATAGAGTAGATTTGTTAGTTGTATATAATTAAATTAGACAAAAATTGCTCATTTGGTAGGCCTAACCCTACCATTCTTACTTTTTCGTTATAAAAATAATTTTTGCCAATTTTTTTAAAACGTTTTAAGCAGTATACAAAGGTATTTCTACTTATCGTTAAACGTGGTACTTTAATTATAAGTGAAAATTTAACAACTGCATTCTCGATTCTAATTAATGCGTTCTTGAAGTATGCTTTCAATATATATTCTAGGAGACTTTTCGATGTTTCTTAAAATGAGATCATATATGTATTCTATCACTTTCTATTCTCAGATTTTGTAAACTGTATTTGCTTGTTCAAAGATTTCCGTACTCATTTATAAAGTCCAATGTCCATAAATTATAGTTTCGCCGATTAATCTAATTCACATACAATCAGTTAGTTACAAGTACAAATTTTTTTTTTTCTTTTGTCAATTAACCAATCAATTTTTTTTCAAATAAACTACATATTTTTATATTATTTAATTATCTACGTAAAAAAAATGATTCGTCTAAACTATAACTATAAATCAACAATTTTCTAACATATGTTCAATACAGTAAAATGTTTAAGATCAAAAGATGATTGTTATCTGCTTAGATATTGTCTATTACATCTGTTATCTATAGAGATATATATTTTAATAATAGTTTCTGTATTATTTTTTGTCGTTTATATCAGTAACTGTATGTAGAATTAGATAATTTAAAAGAAAGAAATGATTTGATATTATAAATTATAAATAATAATAATAATTAGTATTCACTATATTCTTCGTATACATTTTTCTAGTAAGAAAGATATCATTTCACAATAAAAATCTTGTTTGACTGAATAAAACATGTTGAAGTATTCCTGTGGTGAACATTTTACTACTAGCCGCTATCCATCATTGCTTATAAAGCTTGTGACTTTAGGCAATATCGAGATAGTTCACACAAAGAAGGCATATATGCTAACAAGAAACTGATCAATTGTAGTCTTTCATAACAATGGGAACATACAAGTAAACAACATCAAGTGAATTTGTATAGATAAGCTGTAATCAATTAAGCAATGATGGATACTGGCTAGCAGTGGAATTCAGGATGCGCGTTTCGCCTTATTTGGGACTCGTCCACTCAGTAGCTAAGTGAATAACGTGATGGCGTTTGAAGAGAATGGTACTGGGTTCGAGTCCCAGAGTGAACATCAACTCTCAGATTCAGGTACATCCAGCTGACGAGTTCCGAATAGGACGAGATGCACGTCCTGGATTCCACTGCTATCCACTATCCATCATTGCTTAAAAATGCTTATGAATTAAGGCAATATCGAAGCATATACACAGTATGCATATATGCCGATAACAGACTAATCAATTACAGTCTTAAATAACAATGGGAAGATACAAGCCAAAGAATACCAAGTGAATGTACTCAATTAAGTATTCGCTAAGTCAGGAGTTCTGTGTTGATATGGAATATATACTTTGCTTAAATTAGACTAACTTCAATGAAATTTGTGATTGTTACTAAATTCTTCATTTTTTCTCGGTTTAAAGCTGAATTTAGAATTATTTTGCATTTGAGTTACTTGACTATACATCAAGAAATGTTTATTTTCTATATGCATAAGTGATTTAAACAGATAAGTATGTTGGAAAACCTAACATGATAAACTGTAATTCATTTTGTATTGTTTGTTTAAATCTTCCCATTAGTATTTAGGATGAAAAGCGCGTCCTAGATCCCATTGTAAGTCACCATCAATGATAAACTTTGGGTTCAGTTTGTCGTTTTTTTGTTTTCTTTAGTCCAATAAATAATTATCATTCAACAAAGTTTGTTTAGTTTCATGTACAAAATGTGTCGAATAAATGTCGTTTACTTTAACCTTATAATTTATTTATTTATTTGAACACATATATATTGATACAAAGGGAAACAGAATACACATGCACCACAGAAGTCACTTGGTTTATGTGTGGGCTGTGATACTGCCCGGATGCCCAAACTGAAGTAGGTGGTTTTCTCAGGCAGCTACACCCGGGGCCTTACACCTAAAGGTCTGATCCACAAGGCAGTAAAGCAACGTCAGGAAATGCGGTCCTTTGGTAGCCGGTGACTAATAATTGGTTCACACGCCATTTATTACCTTAGAATCCTGAAGCCCATGTACACTATTAGCTTGGAACCAGGGTTATCCAATTCCCTAGGCGGACCTCTCGTGTCCACAAACTCGGTTAAAGCGCCGAACATTCGCTCTTCTTTCTCTCAATTTCGTAAACAACACCCCCGCCACGTTAAGGCGGTGAGCAGAACTTCCCTGAACTTCCCCACCCTCGAAGGTACCAGGGAATTTGGAAACTGCCATGTAATAAGAACAATTAAATGCATAATCAATGTCTACAACTATGATTTTTTACTTATGTATATGATAAAACAATTAAAGTATAAGACTATGAAATAAAAAGTGTGAAAATATCATTTAGTTAGACAACCAAAATAGATACAGCACACAACTATCCATAATTAACTGTAATGCTTTGATCAGTGAAGTTTTTAACAAAAATTGACAGATCCTGGGCTCGAATCCCGCAGGGCGGGATCGTGGATGTGCACTGTTGAGGAGTCCCACAATAGAACGAAACTGCTGTCCAATGCTTCCAGGTTTTTCATGGTGTTCTAGCTTCAATTGACTCATGATGTCAACTATTGGAAAAACTAATGAGTCGAAATGTAGACTACAACATAGACTAAAAAAATGTTAAACATCAAATAACTTTCTAATAAATAAATTTTAACAGTTTATAAAGTAGTCAATTTCATAATTACAAATCAAGTGTCATATCTTTTTTTATTGTTAACATAGTACACTGTATTAAATAAAAATCATGTAATAAGTGATTTTTTGTAGAGTTTTCCCTCTGTATTTCATAAGTGAAATATTTTTTTCCTCAGTAGTCACTAACACATTCAGAGTCATAGCTTGCTACAACAATTCATTGAAAGTAAAGCTGTTTTTATTTGAAAAAGATTTATACTGTTTCCAAGTGTATACTCACTATTTGACAGTAGTAGATCAATACGATCTTACTCGTTAGATATGGGAATAAATTTCTCATTTACCATAAAATTAGAAAAAAAAATTTAAAATTGGCTGTAATGATTGATTTCTGTTATTTCTGACATGTAAGTTTGCTTTTAT